TGTGGTTTTGGCTACAGTATTGGACAACAAAGAGAGGAAACTTTGAATCATACCTTCTATATTGACCTATAACAGTTTTCAGTAGAATTCTAGGTCAGATCTCTGAGAAACTGAGACAAGGTAAGGGTTAAACAAAGTTAGCAAACTTATACAGTGTGATGTTTAAAGTCACATTATTCCACTTCCACCTGTAGCACGTCATTTTGATTGCTATTGTTTGAATCTTTAATTATTTGGTCTTCAATTTACCCTTACAATGTTTATATTTAGATGTAAAGTGAGGTCATTTAATATATTTAAAAATAATTTTATTCAAAAGGCAATAATTTCTATGGGAATTTTTGATAAATATATTAACAGGACCTAAACCCTCAAACATGAAGAGATTGATAAAGTCAATCCTTGCTACTCCAATTAAATGTATCTTTCAGGAGGTATTACTTATTTTCTCCATTGTATCATATATGTAGAATATTGAGAAAGTATTAAAAACAGGTTCAATAAGCAATGAAGGATTCTTACTAGTCAAACAAGGAGATCATTAATTGAAAGCACAGGGAAAGCACTTCTCTTCAGATTAGAAGATATATACAAATTGTAATAGACCTTATTAAAACTTCATTGAAAAACTACTGATTTGAGTATCAGTGCATTCTAGTGTTTTCTGCCAACATCCTCAAAGAACTTTGTGTTACATATGTTCATTTATTTCCTTTGTTTCTATATAATCTGCTTTATATTTTCTCTACATTATCTGTTTTCTATGTTCTAAAAACTTTATCAAACATCTCTCAAAATGAATACTAATAATCACCATGGTGCTGAATCCAGTTATTTCCACCTCCTCTTACTTGACATCTCAATAAGATCTGGCAGTGACATCTCAGTACGATCTGGCATGATCTCGCATCCCTTTTTTGGAAATCTGCTTGCCCTTTGTCTACAGAATATCACACTTGATCGCTTTTTCTTTTATCACTGTAGACTTCTCTTATTAAAAGCCCATCCATTCTCCACAAATCCATATGATGTTGGAGTTACTCAATTATATTTGTTCCATCAATCTTTTCATTTTCACTTTATATCTTCAACCTTGGTAATGGCATCCATCTCCATGGTTTCAACTATTTGTTTATATCTTTCAAATACACATCCAGTTCTGACCTTCTTCCAAGCTCTAAAGCCAATTGTCCATGTGTCCTTTTAAAAATGTTTATTTGGATAGCTGAAACATCTCTAACTAGTAAATCAACAGAAACAAGTTGTTCCCTACCATTCCCAAAAAGGATCTCTCCCAGGAATCACTATTTGAATAAACTGAAGCACAGTTCACCCAGTTTCACAGTCAGAAACCCAAATATCATAATTGGTATGTAATTTACCAATTCTAACATATCCAAATCCACTCAATCATATGGATTATCTAAATACATTGAGTTATTTCTAGCTTCACTGCCACTTCACCAAATAAAAATAACATAATCCAAAAATGTTCCAATCTCTCAATAAGACTATTAGAATGATATCATTTCCATCTTCTTTCATCCAGGTTTTATTTTACTACGCTGAAATCTGACTTGCCATTTAATTTGAGAACATTCACTAACTTTCTATTATCCTTATGATAAAGCCAGCATCATTAAAATAGTCTAAGACCTTGCATAAACTGTCTCTTATTATATTACTATAATATATAAATTAGAATATAAACCTGTTATAATGCATATAACAAATTATTGATTTCTTACTATTATGTTATGAGCAAAATTATAACCAAATCCTGCCCTCAATAAGCTTGCTGATTAGAAAGAGATATATCAACCAAATAATTCTACAATCAAATGTAAAAACGCATCTATGACCAGCATTAAGAAGTCCATAGATCTTTGTGAACCTATGATAAAGGGATTTGATCTAGGCATAGAGGTGAAGGAATCTTTGATCAAAGTCTAAAATGAGCAGAAATCTAAAGAAAGATTAAGAAATTACTAGATTTAAAAAAAAAGAAAAACACTGCTCCATTAGACAATATCATCATGTTCAAAGCATAGAAAAAGATTATTTTGATTCTTTACAGACAGAAAACATATATTGTATGGTTATATATATTTACACATCCATTTATGACCTACATATTTGTTGGTGTGCACTGAGAAAGTGAATATTCTTCTATTAGGTGCACTGTAACAAATATTGTGACTGGCTTAGTGAAATCTCAACTGTAACTATGGATTTATTTATTTCCCCTAGCAATTCAGCCACTTTTTGATTCATATATTTTAATGGTCTCTTATTAGGTGTACATAAAAATTTATAATTAATTTCATGTGATGAATTGACCTATCATTATGAAACCATTTTATTTCTTGTAATTTTTTTCCTCTGACTATAGGCATACATTTTATTGTGCTTCACTTTATCATATTTTGCAGATACTGCATTTTCATCAACATCAAGGCTACATCCTCTATGAGCAAAAAGATAACTTGCTGAAGGCTCAGATGATGGTTAGCATTTTTTAACAATACTTTTTAAATTAAAATATGTACATTTTTTAGACATAATGTGATGGTACACTTTATAAGAGACCACAGCGCAGTATAAGCACAATTTTTATATGCACTGGGAAAACAGAAAATTCACATGACTCCCTTCATTGCATTATTCACTTTAAGGTGGTGGTCTGGAACTGAACTCAAAATATCTTTAATGTATGCCTGTATGTACATGTATTCTAAAATAGCCATTCTTTTAATTAGCATTAACATGGTATATTTTTCCATCCGTTTACCTTTTCTTTATATTTAGTGCATTTCTTGGTTTTTGTATCCAATCTGATAACTTCTACCCTTTTGTGTACCTAAAGCATTTTCATTTAATGTAGTTATTCACAGAGTTAGGCTTAAAGTCTTTCATTTTGCTATTTGTTTTGTATTCCTGTCTCTTCTTTCCCTTCTTTTGAATTAGGTATTATTTAGATTCTCTTTTATCTCCTTTATTGGTTTATTAGCTCTTTGTTATTTTACAAGTTGCTTGTATTAGTTTTCTAATGTTGCATAACAAATGACCACAATTTAGCATCTTAAACAATAGACATTTATTATCTCAGTTTCCATGAGAAAGGATTTTGCATTCTTCTCGTAAGATGGCAATCAATATTAACTGGGTAGTATTCTTTTCTGGATCCTCAATTAGGGAAAAATCTACTTGAAAGATTGTTCAGATTGTTTGAAAATTCACCTCCCTCTGGCAGCTTGACTGAGGGTTCCATCTTCTTGCTAGTTGTCAGCTGTTTGCATCTTTAAGGCCAGCAGGACAATCTCTCTCTTCAATTTGCTATGGCGTATTCTACAATGAAATGGTGTTGTAAGTATGACATGTCATCAACTTTGCCTAATATGTAGCCTGCCTAATCAAGAGAATGATATCTCATTACTCTTACTATATCCTCTCATTTAGAAACAAGTGACATCCCATGACAGGTTCGACCTACAATCAAAAAGAAAAAGATTACAGAAGAGAGTGAGTCACTTGGTGGTCACCATAGCATGCACTGACACTACTGCTTGAGATTATAGTATACAGCTTCAACTTCTTTCACCTATATACAATTTGACATAAAGATACATAATTTACTTTTATTTGTTCTCTCCCCCACTTTGTACTACATTTTACTTTTGCACATTTTAAGTCCCACATCACGTTATTGCTATTTTTGCTGATACAATTCATTTATTATTGTTCTAAAAAATTAAGTATTAAGAAAAGCATACATATTTACTCAAAGTTGTCATTTCTGGTACTTTTCATTTCTTTGTACACATTCAGATTTCAGTGAAATGCCACTTTCCTTGATAGATTATTTCACATTTCTTTAGTGCAGATCTGCTCATGATAAATTGTTTCAAGTTTTTATATATAGATGTCTTTAGTTAACATTCATTTTTAGAAGCGATGTTTCCTGTATATGAAAAAATCAAGTGTGCCTTAAAAAAAAATTCTAATAGTACCTTAAATAATGTTTTTCCACTGTCCTGCTCCTTATTAACTGTTTGATCCTCTTGCGTCTTGTTTTTAAGATTCGTTAAGTGGCTCTAGAGCAGTGACCAGCTTAGAGCTAATTAGTCCCTATTACTAAGGCACGACCTGTCTTTGTACTCTACCCAGTGTCCCATGAATTGTTTTCCGGCCTAAATGGTGGATAGAGTCACTATTTCCCACCCTAAATAGCTCTAGGAATACTTAAAACCCTTTCTCGGTAGTGTTCTGAGACAGAAGATGCCCAGTTCTCAGCTGATCACTTGAGAAAACTCCGTAGAATTGAGTTCTCTATCCAAGCAACTCTCTCGTTTTCCCTAAACGCTGCTGAGAACACTACCTGCCTTGGTCTCTCCAGAATATCAGCTTAATCTTGTCAATGCAGGTGATCCGCTGGGCTCTGCTTGGGTTCTCTCTCCCTGCACTGCATCTTGGAAATTTTTTAAAGGCGGTAAGGTTTTTGAGCTGATATTTGCTCCCCGCGTCTCCAGGATCACTGTTCTCCGTCACTGATGCCAAGGGTCTTCGCAGACCCGGCGTTCTCTTTCTACCTAAGAGGTTTGTGGTGTTTTTTTCTTTTTTTTTATAAAATTATTACTGAGAGTTTCCCCTAAAACCCAAACTCACTGCAATGTTTTTCCTTCCCAAACAATGTAAGGAGAAACCGGTCCAACGCCACCAAATGAATTAACGCTACACCTCCGTCTCCAGCACTGCCTATACGCTAGCGCGCAAGCGCAGAATGTTGCGTGCCCGCCAGACAATCTATAACTGCGCCTGCGCCAAACTGTACGGCTTGCCAATGCGCAAATCCGCGCCTGCCAATGAGAGCCCACGATGGTCCTTGATTCCCGCCCATTAACCGGGTAACCAATCGCCTGCTCCGGCGCGCAGTCTGCGGAGTATCCAAACAGGAAAAGTGTATCAGAGGAGAATAGAGCTAAATCGCGGCGCGGGGAAGGATGCAGGCGGTGGAGACTGAGGCAGAGGCTTCAGCCTTACAGTAAGTGTCTGCCTCCAGGTGCCAGCCGGGGGCGGGCCAGGGTGGATCTTGTGGGTCCCCGAGTACAACTGAAGGGTTCCGTGGACCCTTTACAGTTGTTCAGGTTCGACTCCGGGGTGAAGTGATCCTGACCCCAGATCCCAGTCTTAGGTTCTTGGTTATGCCTTGCCTCTCTCGAGAGGTAAGGCCTACGAGGGACGACCGGTAGCTCCCCGCGAATGCACACTTCCTGGGGGTGTGTCCTGAAAGTGAGCGGTTTCATCCCTGTCAATGCTTCCATCTCTTCGTAGATAGATTGCACCATCCTAAGACTCTACATCTTCAGGAGAAATTCCTGAAAGGGCCATTTCATTTCTGTCTCACCGTCTCACACACTCTCCCATTGGGTTATTTGATGTCTGTCCCTGCTTCCTGATGGGCCGCTACAGTCCCTATCAAGGAAGAACTCAGAGAACCTATATCTAGGCATCTAGACCTCTGCCCTAAGCCCCTACCCAAGGTTAGTATTCTTTGCTTCGAGTGCACCTACTGCCCATCAGCTTTGCCCTTATTTTTTTTTTTTCTTTCCCTGTACATTTCCCTTGACTCAAATAGTTTATCTTCAGTGAGACATTTCCCGCCCCACACTCCTTACTCCCTTTGCCCTGCTTATTTTTCTTCATGGTGCTTATTACCCCCAATTGCCCTCCACACGCACACCATTCTTGGTCCTAGATGGCCCTTTCGGCCTGTGTGTAAATACTGGTCAGGGCGAGACTCTCAATGATAAACATCTATGTATGTGCATGTGTACGAAAGTTCTCCAGAACTAGCACCCCAGGAGTCTTCAGCTTCCCCCGTTTCCTTAACCCCTTCAGGGTCCTGGCCAAGCTGGCAAACATCCTGGAGCCCACAGGCCTGCAGGAGGAGGCAGGGCTGCCCGGACAGATCCTGGCCGAGTTCGTGATGGTATGTTCAAGATGGTAGCCAGCTTTTCATAAGCCGGGAAGTGCTCCTGGGTTCTTCTGTTGAGGTACTGGGCAGACTGGAAGGCAGCCTTATTGGCTTGTAGTACAAGGAGGTTAGGATGTTCCCTGCCTCTTCCCTCCCTCCAAACAGGATTCTCGAAAGAAAGACAAACTGCTCTGCAGCCAGCTTCAGGTAGTAGACTTCCTGCAGAACTTTTTGGCTCAGGAGGACACTGTCCAGGGCCTGGACCCCTTGGCTTCTGAAGACACGAGTCGTGAGTAGTCAGGGGGTTGGGATAGGGGCTGCTCTGAGTAGGGAAGGAAGGGACATATCAGTCAAGTCAGCTGTATAGCTGATGGAAAGACTGGGGCCCGAGTGTGTCAGGCTAGCAGGCCAGGCTTTACTTGAGTCCTCATTCTGGTGGCTTATCTCAGGACAGAAAGCAATTGCAGCCAAGGAGCAATGGAAAGAGCTGAAGGCTACCTACCAAGGACATGTGGAGGCCATCATGGGAGCCCTGACCCAGGCCCTACCCAAGATGGAGGAGGCTCAAAGGAAGCAAGCAGAGCTGCAGGAGGCCCTTGACCAGCTCCAGGCCAAGGTGCACCAGGGTGAGGGAAGGGAAGGACATTCAGAGAGGAGGAGGGAAAGGGTAAACATGCTAGATTGGATCCACTGTCCACATCCCAAAATGCAACCAGAAAAACACTTCCCCTCTCCTTGTCCCGCCCCCTGCTTTTACTTATCTGCAGAAGCAAGTGGCCATGGAGAAACTCAAAACAGCGCAGAAGCAGTGGCAGCTGCAACAGGTGGGTCCATGCCCCTAGGCAAATATCCATTTTTCCCACTATGCTACTGCATGGACTAGTCCTCTGCCTGAAAAACCTTAATCTCCTTTCTTTCTGTGTACGTAGTAGTATTATAGTACGTATGGATGGCAACATGGACTTGAATCTTAGCATCGCTACTTACCAACTCTATGACCTTGGGCAGTCACCTGATTTCCTGTGCCTCTGTTTCCTCTGTGAACTGGAGGCAATATTAGCACCTACCCTAACAATTTGATAAGATGATTAAGCAATTAATACAGCAAGTACTTAAAAATGTATCAGGTGCATAGCAAACTAAGTGTTATCATCATTGTGCTGTCTTGGCTGAAGGGGTTTGGGGAATGGCTGGAAGAACCTCAGCCTCTGGTGAGGCATGTCTGCATTCTCACTCTTGGTAGGAGAAGCGTCTACAGCATTTGGCAGAAGTTTCTGCAGAGGTGAGGGCGCGTAAGACAGGAATTCAGCAGGAGCTTGAGCGACTGTATCAGGAACTTGGAACCCTGAAGCAGCAAGCAGAGCAGGAGCGGGACAAGCTGAAGAGGTGAGACTGGGATCGTGGGCTGCAGGCCCAAGGTGGTCCAGCTGAGGTTCCCTCCTTCACACTCACTTCTTTTTTCCAGGCACCAGACCTTCCTGCAACTGCTATACACCTTGCAGGGTAAGCTGCAATTCCCAGAGGCAGAGGCAGAGCTCCCACAACATTCAGATCTTCCTGAGGATAAGCCCCAGCAGCTGACCCAGCCCCAGGAGCAGAACCATGGAGATACCTTGGGAAGAGACGCGGGTGCATCCTCCAAGGTGAATGAGAAATGGGACAGATGGGCAGGAAGGTAGAGACTCTGGGAGATGGGCCTTACCTACGGCTCATACCATGTTTCCCCAAGGCCGGTGGTCTCCAGCCTGCTGGATTTGGAAGCTTGCCATGGCCTCCTGGGGGACAGCAACATAGGGAAAGGATCCAACCCAGGGCCTTTTGTTTCTGGACTGCTGAAGTGGAAGGAGGGATGGCCTCTGGTCTGCCTGTCTATATGAGCTCTGCTGTTCTGGGTGTTGTGGGAAGTGGGGAGGAGCAAGCAGTTTATTTGATAGTTGAAGCTTAGCACCTCATCCCCATGCCCGGCCTACCCTTGCCTAACCCCTCTCTTCCTCTTCCCCAGCCCCTTGCCGCACCCTCATCACAGGTGGACTGGGAGCTTCTGAGTACAGCCTGATTTCTGACCACCACCCAGCTGGGGGCAGGCCCTGGATTCTGTTGATTAAAAGCCCTGGAGCTCTCTCAGTTGCCTGTTTGTCTGTTTACCTTCATATGATGATGGGAAGTGCCACATTCAAAGGCGAATAACATAACGGGTGCTGGGACTGGTGTGAATTTAGAGTGTGCAGATGAGTAGGGGGCCCTGGCCTGGGGCCTCAGGAGTTCCTTGCCAAATCAGTACGATGCAAACACGCTGGGCTTAATTTGGGGAAGAGGAGAATGCTTTATGCAGGTGGTTAGATATGGGAAGATCATTTTATCACTGATCTGAATGTTTATTGAAGCCCTGCTATGTGCCAGCCCTCTTGCTGTGAACTGGAGCTACTAGTCCTTGGCCCTGGTGAACATAAGGAGCATGTGCAAGTAAACAGATTGATAAAATGACTTCAGATTGTGGTAAAAGAGGGTAGCAAACTAAAACAATAAGATGATAAAGAGCAGTCCTGAGAGATTATAGAGAATGTATGTCTGTACCAGCCTGTGTCTTTGTGAGTTAGCATTTCCATTTGTGTGTGCATGTTCCTGTATCTATTTTTGTTGTTTTTCAATTACAGTTTACATTCAATATTATTCTCTATTAGTTTCAGATGTGCAACATAGTGGTTAGACAATCATGTCCTTTACAGAGTGGGCCCCTAGTATTTGAAGTATCCAGCTGGCGCCATACATAGTTACTACAATAGTATTTCCTTTGCTGCTTTCGGTCTCCATCTCTCTCTGTAGCTGCTGCGAGGTGTGTGGACCTTGCGGGGCACTGCTGTGTGTGAGAGGGATTATATCCTTGACTGGGTGTGTGGGAACTGCTATCAAAGAGAAAGCTCATAGAATACTCATTCTCCATAGGTGAGAGAAAGACTTATCCCTTTGAGAAAGAGACATGGGGTCCCTTTGTTTTTGGTGAGAGAAAGTTTCAAGAAATGTTGGTCCCTCTTCTGTCTCAGATTGTGATGGCTTTTCTGAGGTGGTGACTGAGATCCCTGTGCATGCTGATGGTTTGCTCTGCTTTTTTGAAGTGTCCCTTGTTTTTCCTCACAACATTCTTTTAGTGGTGCTAGCCCCATTTTTTATGGATGAAACAGAACAGATATCAGGGGCCTTGGATGGCCTGCATCATGACTGACCAAGGGGGCCAGTGAGGATTGAGGATGCTCTTTTAAGGAGCACACAAACAGTCAGAGAGCCTTCCTCCTTCTACCCACATGATCCCTGCTGCAGCTCTTTCTCGCACCTATAATACTCAGTCCCATCCTTCCCTCTTTTCCTACTGAGTACTTGGTGGCTGACAGAAAGTCAGCAGGGAAGGGAAGACCCCCACGGAGCTCACCAGGCAGGGGTGAAGGATTATATCCCGACATACTCTAAGCCAGGGGGCCTAGAGGTCTGCAAAACTGCTGTTATCCGGAATTCTCTCAAGGTGTGCGGAATGAGTCAGTTCACAGTGAAGCCAAAGAGGCGTGGAGGCTTAAATATCTGTTTTGTTCAAATCCCCTGAATTGTCTATGTGGCTGGAGCCGTCCATTGGGCAGAAGTGTCTTGACTGAAAAGCTCAAGAGTTAGGATTTATTTTCAGACAGAAGCCAGAGTTCAGCTTACAGCTATTCTCAGTCCCCTCTAGGTTCCTCTAAAGGCTATCCTTTCCCTTGTTCTGTGACTCTTGCACAGATAGACATGTGCCAGAAGGGAACATATCCTTGGGAAATTATCATCTCTTACAGAAAGTCATGGAGACTTGGGAGGCTGCAGTGGCTGCTGAAAAGGCCCTGCTGCTGACAAAGATTTCTTTTTCCTCTCTTCCCTCCAGAGGAGGGACACAAACTGTTGAGAGTGCAGGGAGATGGAGACTAGCCAGAGAACCAACACAGCCAAGATACTTGGCCAGAAGAAGCCTTCTCTTAGATACATTAAAGCGAAGATTAAGCTTACTCCATCAAATGAATAGGAAGCCTTGCCTTTTCTATTTTCTCTAGGAATAATGTTTTCTTTAAACAGTAATTTTTCTTTATGATGGAACATTCTTTTGCTTATTCTAGTTTAAACTTAACATTTTTTTAGGTATTGTCATTTTTCTAGGAATTTATTATTTCTTTTCTTTTTTACATTTATTAATATGAAGTTGTTATAATGTGTTTATATCTGCAGCTGGTTTTAGGATGGCCTGATGTCATATTCCTGATTTTTTTGTGTCTTATCTTTTCCTTGATCCATCTTTTCAAATATTCATTCATTTTTAAATATCCAAAGATTGTCTTTTTATCATTTGTTTTTAAATATCCAAAGATTGTCTTTTTATCATTCGTTTTTAAATATCCAAAGATTGTCTTTTTATATTTGCTAATGTATGTTTATTCTGGTTCATTTAGTTGTCATATCCTGATAATTTACACACACACACACACACACACACACTCTCTCTCTCTCTCTCTCTCTCTCTCGCTCTCTCTCCTGGAAAGCAGACAGAATTGTCTTTTGTTCCCATGGAAAAATAAACCTCAGAAAATAAAAATCCTAAACTATAAAGAGGAAAATTGTCCAGTTTACTGGTTGTTCATCAAGATGACACAGCCAAGTGATAGTTCCTACCCTCCTTTGGAGTTAGATGAGGCCATTGTGACTGGACGATAGCCAAGCACGTGGGGACATCATGATATATTCCACTTCCCAACCTGCCTTAGGAAACCCTCCCCCACGCTACCTTCCATTTTTCTCTGCCCTCTGGCTAAATGGAGAGGATACTAAGCACCGTGAGGAGTGTAGACACACAAAATTGAGGGAGCCTGAGTCTTTGTCACTTGGAAGAAAACAGCCTAAATAAGGACCACTGTGTTGGGCCATTCTTAAGACTGAGGGAAAAAAGTTTTGTGTTCAGTGAAGCCACTGAAACACTGAGGTGGTTATATCAGATAGCTTAAACCTTCTGGATTCAGTTCAGGTTTCTCTAGGCTAATATCTCAGGAATCCTAATTTAACCTTTTGTGATAATAACTAAATATTTGTTGAACTGGAAAAAGCCACTTCTTAAGGGACATCTCAAAAAAAAAGTGTATCCTGCAAATGGAATGTTGGTCAAAGATAGGGATAGTAGTTTCAGTAAGTACTGCATTTACCACTAAACACCCGATTTGGAGAAATGATTGGTGAGGTGTTTAAAACCTAAAGTATACAATAAATCATAAAATATTCCTGTGTTCTTAGGAAAACTGAACAGTGAATCATTTCACCTCACTTAAAAAGTTTATAAACCCTCTTTAATATGAGTTTTTAAATGAATTTACCCTGTATTGACCCCTGCTCTAAACACCAGACAAAAGTTTTGTTTATAGTTAGGTTTGTAGTATGCTAATCTTGCACCTGTGAATCAGGGACATTATTAAATGTCACTCTGAGTTTGAAATATTCTGCCTTTTTGGGGGGAGATTTGTTTACTCAGCTGCTGCACTTTCTTTGCTGTCTTTTAATTATGCACATTCATATAAGTACCTGTTCTGCCCCTTTCTACTCACCTCACCTACAGGACGTTATCCCTTACCTATTTGTTAGTCTAGCCTGAGAATTAATGGTGAGAATGAATCACCATTATAATCACCATTAGTTCTCAAAATTTGTTTTTAGAAATTACATGCCGTATCACAATTCAGTGTTGTTATAAGTGAAAATGTTGACTTTCAACATGGAGTTTCAGTCTAATCTTGACTGTCTCAAACAAATGCAAGAAAAAGTTTTAAGAAATGTTTTGATTACATTTGTTCCTAATTGTTACTTTCACTTGTATTATTTTCATTATTTGTTTTTATAACAATTTAATGGGGTAGATATTTATCAGCAGTTAGAAGTTATAGACAAAACTATTACAATTTTATCATTATTATCCTAAAAATATGAAATATATTTGCAGTGCTTTGATCACAACTATTGGGCATATCTCAAAAGCAAGGAGCCTGTTGGGGAGCAGCTGGGAGTGATTGGCCAGAGGGGAGGTAAAGCAGGACCCTCGCCATTACAGTCGAACAAGAGCTTATATGGGAGGCTAGAAGCAAAAGGGAGACATGTCTCATTTATTTCAGGAGTCCTGAGCCTGGTTTGATAAGATTGCCAGGTGTCCCAAGCATTCCAAGCTAAAATAGCGCAGGAAGAGGGGAGTCCTTGAGACTGTGTTGAGAAAGGGGGGCTTCTGTAAGCTTCAGCAATCTCACTAACATGGCCAAGTGTCTTGCATATCACAAGCGAATACCGTGGGATGGACGCGTCCTTGAGATTCTATGCTGGGAAAGGAAGCATTTGTAAAAACTTCACTAACTAGGCAGAAAGCCTTTACTAGCAACAACAACAACAACAACAACAACACAACAACAACAACAAAGCCTTTGTATTAACCCCAAGGTCTAGAAGAGGGAGGAGGGGTACCTCTGGAAGCTAGCTAAGGTATATAACCCCCAAACCCCAATAGACAGGGTACTTAGATTAGCTAAGTATCCACCTGTAGCCTTGGCTCAGATGTATAGAACAAGCATACTGACAAACTTACTAACAACTTTATTTCCTCTATACATGGGGCGTTTAGACTAGCTGAGTGCCTGCTTGC